CAGGATGGACTTCTCCATGCTGGCTGGGGAATTCTGGGATCTTCAAATTGCCAAGATTGAGAAACACTGGCTTAGGGTGTCACGTAAACATAGTCTGGTCACAGGGGCATCCATGCAGAAGTCAAAAAGTCAAGATAGGAGTCACAACCACATGGTAAAAGTTCGCCCTCCTTTTTAACATGCAGGCAACAGACAAAAAAGGGAATGGTTCTGATTACATGGTTGTGACTGTCATCTTGACCTTTTTGATACACACACCCTGCATGTTAGTGGCTAGTGGGCAGTTCATAAGATCTAGTCAGCGCTATTGAAGAAGTTGCTATGGAGCTGACAGTGCTGGATCAGGAATGGTCAGGAATAGTCAGATTGGGGGTTTGAATGAAGTCAACTAAGCAGCACTCTGCTTTTCTACTATCCCACCAAACCATAATGATCAAATCCATAAAATTTCTTAGGAGAGTGTAATGCGTCAACGCCACCCAGAGTTCCTTTGTGTGAGATGGGCGGCTATATAAATACAATAAAATAAATATTTAGATGTGCTGCATCTTTTTGCATATTCCAATGGTGTATACCCTAAAATAAAATCTATGTAAATTGAAAATCATCGCAGCCAGTGGAAGAACTTGGCTAATCTGGTCTAGACTAAGAATCAAAGTAGGGCCAGACCTAGTTAGTAACTAGATGAGAGACTACCAGTGACATCCACAGACCCTGACGTGGTCATCAAAGTGACAAAACTAGCATCACAACGCAAAATCTGCCTCATGCATATGCATGCAATGGCACGACACAAGTACAAAAGGGGTGCAGCTTGTGTTGCAATGTCACAATGCTCATTTTGTCATTCCCCCCCTCTTCCTCCCCCAAAAGGCACCCATGGAGACCAGCAGGGAATTCTTGGGAAGGCAAGGGTAAACCATTTCCACACTGATGCCAATAAAACAGTATGGAAGCATTCATGTAGTCCCAAGCAACTGAGCTTAAATCAAAGACCTCTTTACCGTTTCCAAAAAAATATCGGTCAATTCAGGGGCATGGTTAGGAAATTCCCCATCATCTACTAAAATTGTGCAATCCTATGCATCGTTACTTTCAAACAAGCCTCTTGACTGAAACTGCAATTCTAGACAAACATATCTTGGGTCAAGTGGGACTTGCTTCCAGATATATTTGTCTAGAATAGCAGCATCAGTCAATCAGCTTTCCCCAACCTGGTGACCTGTAAATATTTTGAACACAATTTAACTAAAAGTCACAAATAAAGTGTTTGGTATGCAAAAAAAAAGGGGGGGAGGCATTTGGTTGGAGAAGGTTGAATAACAGATATGCTGATGAGAAGACGAGTAAATTCCTTCAAAAGTCATATTACATGCTGTTACATGATTTGTCATAGTGTTTCTCAACAAAAGTTAAAGAGAAGTTAAAATAGAATGAATGGCTGCTGACAGATAAAAATGAATTTATACAGCTATCTGTCCTTTGATGATTAGTACTGCAGACTATTGAAAAGATAACCCTACTGATGTTAGTCGGAGCTTATATACTCTGAAGAAGATTTCCAAGCGTTTCCTCTGATAGACACGGTTTAGGCTCCATAAATTATAAAAATACTTGAAAAATTAAAATTCAACTGACTGTTCAATGGGCACTTCCCAGCCAAATTCTTTTGAGAAAGTCAGCCCTGTTGCTTGTTCTCAATCCTGTATTTTCAAAATGCTTTGAACCTTGGAAAATAAAGGACAGAATTCCTTCCATCCATCAGTTACTAAGAATTTGTGGCTTGCTTCCCTGTTATTTAAGGCTTCTCTGAAAAAGGGTTTTTAAATAGACGAAGAACAGCTTGGTGATATCAGTGTTGTTGGGGGTTTTTTGATGTCATGGAAGGTTATTTTGCTTTTAACATGTTGTTCTCCAGAAGTAAAACCTCTGTTCTTCCTCTGTTTATTTATTTATTTTATTTATTTTATTGGATTTCTCCGCCACCCATCTCCCCCCACAATAGGGGACTCTAGGGACTTACAAAAAACAGTGTTTTTTAGGCACACTGTATCATTTGTTTGCTCAGTTTTATCATATCACCCGATAAAAAGGAAAGGAAAATCCAGCCAATAAAGATGGATTGTCTGAACATAGGGCCTCTGTAGGTGTGCATCCGTTGCCTGGATTTTCAAAACTGGCTCTGAAAAACAAGGAGACTATGCAGTCCATCACTTCCCGGCAGGAGGAAACCTAACTGTAAATGGTGACTTGGCGCGATGATGGTTTAAGACTTTGGAGTGCTGGATCAGCGGCCACATTATACTACCAGAGTCCAACATGCAGCCCGGCCTGCTTGTTTTAGTTCACATGGGACTGTATTTATTCTTTGCACACTGTGTTTAGCAATGAAGGAAGATGCTCAACAGCTGTTCACATGGTTGACATGAATAGAGGGAAAATAACACTCTTAAACTATCATGCCATAGAGTTTGTATGCCTTAATACCTTAATTCTAAAATGCAACTATGAAAGATGGAAACACTCCTCATCCTGAACTGTGATGTCACTGTCTAGACTGTGTCTAGAATTTATGAATAACTGTCAATGATTCCATTAACTTTTTGTTTATATTTTTCTTGAGTGTTACGAACATATGAAGCTGCCTTATGCTAATATTCTCCTTCCTCCATCTAGAATAGCATTGCCTACTTTGATTTGCAAGAGAACTCAGACAGAGGTCTTTCCAATCACTGCTTAACTAAGGTTAGCACATCTGGACTGTGAAAATAGGGATAACCACTAGATGGCAGCAAAGAGATACAACAAACTTTAGCTAACTAGCTAGTTTATAAGGCTGCCCCATTCTGGACAGCATATACTATTAAAATAGTTTGGAACAATACAAAACAGAAAAGAGTAATAAACATTCACAAAGAGCAAAACAAAGAGTCTCCTTTAGCATAAAATATCCCCACAAAGGGTCTGTCACCCAGCCTAGCCTGCAGGAACAGCAGGTTTTTAAGGTCATTTAAATGAAATCAGGGTAGGGGGCCACACAAATCACTGGGGGGATGGCAGGCACTGTGGCAGAGAAGACCCAATTCCTGCATCTCCTCAGATGTTCAACTGATGCAAAGTATATCAACTCTGTTAGATAGAATAGCATGGGCAGACCCTACAGGAGATATAGGTCCCACAGATAGCCAGGCCCTATGCCATGGAGGCCTTTATAGGTGACCCTGAGTTGCACCTGGAAGCCTAGTAGTAACAGCATAGCTCACAAAGCAAAGGTTCAACTACCTCTGCATTTTTATCAGCCTTACTAGGTAGACCAGACAGGAAACATGACCAAATGAGCTAATTCTACTTTATTGCAAAGCTACATTAACAGAATCTTGCAGGTATGAAGGTACAGTTCTCCCCCCGTCTCCTTTACGGCCCAAGAAACTAAGGAGGGTCTCTTCTGAGCTTCTTGCCCCACCCACTATCCAGGTACGGGGTATGCTGACTCTTGCCTGACCATTCCCCAGGCTGTGTCTCTTGGCCCAGTCTCCCAAGGTCTTTCCCACATACCATTACAATTCTGTATCAGCTGCAGCTTCTGAGTGGTTTTCAAGGGCAGCCCCAATAGAACACATTGCCATAGTCCACATCTGAGGTGATCAAAGCTTAAGTGACTGTTTGGAAGGCTTCCCAGTCCAGAAACAGTTTGTGTACAAGATGAATCTGTGCAAAGGCTTTCCTATCCCAGCCACCACCTTCTCCTCAAGCAGGAGCTACAAGTCCTGGAAGACCCTCAAATTGTGTACAAGTCCCAAATATGGAATCCCAATAAAAAAAAAATGGGAAATTTTCAGTTCTGAGTGGTCCAAATGCCCACAGCTATTCAATGTTGCTAGGGTTGAGACTGAATCTATCCCACTCTGTCCAGACCCAAACAGCCTCCAGACACTGGGAGAAGACCTCAAAAGTTCACTTGGTTGACCAGGGGTGGAAGTATACATCTTGCTATCATCTGTATATATACATATATGATATTTAATCCCAAACTCAGCAGCCTCACCCAGCAGCCTTATGTAGATATTAAATAGGAGGGGCTAGATATCCAGATGTTTATAGCACAGAATTGGTGACCCAAATTTAACAGAAGATGTCAAGGTCTTCATCTGTAACTTTCTGGTTGAAATCATGTACCCTGTCCTAAATTATGGCCGCCATCTGGTATTATTAAATGATAATAATATTTCAATTCTGTTGCCCACAGAAGAGGAGGTGGTATTTTGTATTGTTCATTTTGAACCTTATCTATTTTAAATACTGGAGAATGATTTTCTGATCCTACACTAGCCTGTTCCTTTTCTAGAGAAGAATTGCTCTACAACTGTACACAGGACTATTCTGAGTTACCTGGTCCACTGTATAACAGGCCAGCTCTGGACCAGTTTGGCCTCCTGTATCCTTACTCTTCTTAAAACAACTTACGAACTACTGTAGAGAATGGATTCACATATGTCAGTTTGCCACAACTTGTGAGTGCATCACCCATAAGTGTACACTCGAGAGCCTTCGAAATTCTGATTATTGAGCACCTATATGCACTGTTGTCCCCATGGTGTGTTCCTAATTTTCTTCCTTGGCTGTTAAAGCTCTGTGTCTAACTTTTCAGTATAAATGCACTGGTGAAGCAAAGAAATTACAGGGTGGGGATAAACCTTCTTCTCTTGGGTTCCAGAAGGTAAGAAGGAAGCTTTTAGCCCAGTTCACAAGCTAAGACCTGAATGTTCTACTACAGTTTTGTTACCAGTTTCCTTTCCTCTGGCTGTCTCGTGTACAGTACTGTGCGTTTTGCGCTCTCAATTTTTGTGACTAGCATTATTGTCACTTCACAGGAGTTTGTGTATCTAATCCTTTTCTTGTCAACCTTCTTTGCATGCCTCGGAGTACCTTTAGCTGTGCGATCAATGGCGTATGCATGTTGAAGCCATCTAATCTCTTCTTCTTGTCTCTGTTATCACCAGGCCTCCTGAACCCGTTTACAGCACTGTGAACAAATTCTGTGATAAGCCACCTTCTCCTAGGCATTATTCCCCTGTCGAGTGTGACAAAAGCTTCCTCCTTTCAGCTCCCTATCCCCACTACCACATAGGCCTGCTCCCTGACTCTGAAATCATCAGGTACTGCATGTGCTTATTCCTCATTTCCACATACTAAAATGCATGGGTGTCACTGAAGCGCACAGGAAATAGGCTGTACGTTCCACCCACACTGTAAGCCTCCCTCCCCCAAGACTTGACTTCCAACTCTCTTGATTTATGACCACCAGAGAAACATGATCTCTCATATCAAGAAAGTTCCGTCTGGAGAGTTGGTAGCCACGGTGGCATCTAAGCCCTTTGGGATGGGAAGGTACTTACTGAACGCGGGAAGCTGCATTACCTGGAACTGAATATCTAGCTCTGTGTTGACAATTCCAAAAGGGACTTTTCATTTCTGCTAGGCATTTTGTGGATTCAAGCTGAAGTCTTCTGCAGTCTTCTATCTCTCGGTGGTTTGGTTATGAGCCTTTGAGAAAGAAAGAGAGCATGCATTGTGCCCTCAGGTCAAGAGGTCATTGTGCCCTCATCTGTGCTGAGTTGCAGTGCTTATAAATGAAAGATGGAAGTAGGTGAAATCAGTGATAAGGAGGACAAAATGGGTGGCTATTTTCTTTCACTCATTCTAAAAGGTGCAAGCAATCTGTGACAAGAGAGAATTCTGAAAGATAATGGGGGGGGGGGAGGATTCTGATAGACCTTCATTCTTCCACAAATGTTCATCTTCCTATGTGCATTTAACATGATTGCTTTAGATCATTATTGCTTCACCAACAAAGTAGCAGAGAAATGCTAAATAAATACACGTGTAGATCTTATACATTAAGAAGTCTCTCCTTCCATAAGTCTCTCCTTCCATAAGACCTTGCCAAAATGCTAATGCTAAAATAGGTATCAGAGGGCTTCCTCTGTTGTCGTCACCATCGGAAGCTGGCATATAAGCAAGGGCCACCAATGTTTAGACAAGCTTTTTACTTGTTTCAATGCAGGCAAGAAAGGCAATTTTCTTCATCAGTTAGTTGCTTCTTTCACTGATGGGCACCCTTTGCTTGTATCATTCTTTCATTTTATCTGTGTTTCTAGTTTTATTATACTAATATTTATAGCTTCTTCCTTTCTAGCCAGTATGCTTTTTCCAGGGTCCCAGGCAGAGTGGGATCTCCCCATCTTCTATGTGTCTTTCAGCTGGAGATAGAAACAATTAGAGAAGGGACCTCTAATTCCCCTGTCGCGTATGGCAGGTTTCTGGTTTGATCTCTCCCCAGAGGAATCCATCATACTATTGATAGAAAGTTGAATTCAGCGTGTAGGATGTTTGTCTGTGGACTGGGCAATGCAGAAACCTCATGGAGAATGGGCACATAATTTTGAAAAACTTCATGTCTTTTACTATGAGGAGGTAGAAAAGTGGTAGACCACTGCCAAGGTTTCTAGCCATTCTTCCAGAAGCCTTTTATTAAACAGTGACATTTATTTGTTTATTTGTTTGTTTGTTTGTTTGATACATGTATATCCCATCTTTCTTCCAGGAATCTTTGGCATATGCAGCACTCCCTCTTCCAATTTTCCCTAGTAACAATAACTCCACAGGTTGGTTAGGCTAAGAGAGAGTAACTGGCCACAGTCACTCTTTGAGTTTTCAAGGCTGAAGGTGGACTGGAATCTAGGACTCCCTAGTCCAATCTCTTAATCACAACACCATGCTTGCCTCATTCAGTTGAACAGCAGTGTGTTTAATTGGTCACTGTCCCATATTTCTCCATCTCCTCCTTCTCTTTCTTAATAGAGAACATCCATTAAGGAGGGAATGATGGAATAGGTCTGCAGTCCCTTGTCTTTCATCCTGAATGACCCAGGATTCTCCTGGATATTAGTGACTCTTCCCATAACTCTATCAACTATGTGGAATCTAGAATACGATCATACTGGAAATAAAAATGTATGTGGTGGGTTTTCATTTGAAGCCTTGGTCCTTAAAGGCAGAGAAGACTATATTCCACAAGGCCCGATCAGGATGTAGTTGGGACTCAAATTCAAATCAAAGATGGATCAAATCAGGACATATTCCTTGCACATATATGTACATTGAAGTATAATTCATGGACAGCAAGAGACAGAGATGGTAGAAAGAGATAGAGATAAGATTAGATTTAGATTTAGATTTAGATTTAGATTTAGATTTAGATTTATATATGTATGTATGTATGTATGTATGTATTTATTTATTTATTTATATAGCTGCCCAACTCACACATGGTAATTCCAGGTGGCTAACAAAAATCAGATCCAAATACAAAACCACTGGACTCCCCATCCCCCTATATCTATATTAATAGATAGATATAGATAGCAAAATATATAATGGAGATACAGTATAAATTCAGATAGCAAGAGATTTAAGTATAGATATATAGATAGTGAGACATAAAGATATGTAGATATAGATATGTAGATATATAGATATAGCTAAATATGGAGATACAGATAGCTGATATAGATAGATGATATAGATACATAAGATGGGGAGTTGGGGCATGGGTACAGAACATGCCATGGTTCTTGAAAGCTTTGAAGTACCCCAAAGCACCCTCAAAAGTTGCCATGAGTTGAAATTTTAAATTAACAGCTATCACATATTTCTGACATCATAGTTATCAGATATTATAATAATAGAAATATAATAATAACATCTGATAGAGTAATCATATTAGAGACAGTCCCCAGCTTATGCCAAGGTTCCCTTCCAGGAACCCTTGTGAAAGCTGATTTTTCAGTCCATCAGACAACAGCCTACAAGTGTGCAAAAAGGTAATGAAAGGATCTAAGGCAGGGACCTCAGTTGATCTGGTGGTGTTCTTTGCTTGTTAGATCTGGCTTTCATGAAAGCAAAATACCCTTCAGATGGGAATGCCAACTCTGAAAGTAGAGAAGTTCCAGCATTAAAACCAGTATATGGGAGAAATATTCAGTGGATCCCTGTCCTTCATAAGGTTTTAATCTTATGTTACCAGAGTCAATCTGCCCATGTGCCACCTTTCTTTCATACACCAGGCCCAGGGATGTCCACGGCATTGGGCTAAACAGTCAAGATGACAGCCACAGCCTGTGTTTGAAGCCCTGCCCTGTTTACAAGCAAGGCTGTGATAGCAGGTCATGGCTGCCATCTTGACTTTTGTGACTCCATCCCCCTAGCTGCCTGAGTATATTATAGCCACAAGAAGCCAACCACCAAATTTCCTTAACTTTGCCCACTTACTAAGCCACATGGAAACGGAGCTACTGAGAGAACTCTGCTCCATTAGTGAATCCTACTTTGAGGTGCTAAGGAGAAATTTATTCTTAATTTGCTCCTGGAATGGTCCTCTGCCATTGCTATTCCAGCAACAAAAAGGTGTGTCCAACCTGCTCCAGAATTTCAGGGTTCTTGGGAGACTTTGTTCCAAAAGGTAGATTGACATCAGGAATGTCCAAGTTCCAATGTCTCAAGAAGCATGTTAGCCTTTGTTCAGGAGATCAAATGGCCAATCTTCAGAACTGGGTGGGGACAGGAGGCATTGTGGGGATGAACTGGGAATGTTAAGGTGTGAAATGAGTGCTTCCAGCATCTACAAAAATACAGCATTTTGCTCCTTAACCTCCCTGCAAAATAAAAAAAAGAGGCCTTCTATTCTGGGAGCAGGTGCCAGGGACTGCAAAAAGGAAACTAGTGTGTCATACATGGCTCCAAACCTGGTTTCCATGATCCAAACTTTTCTAGTGACAACAATGGTGGACAAGAGAAGCAGCCATGTGCTATCTTTTCCATTTCTCATACAACTCCCAAGATCACCGTATGGTGGAACATTCCAGTTGTTGTTAAGCCTCAAACAACTGGTTGTGATACCAAAGTAGGAAAATTATTTAACAGATGGAGGAGCAGAGATACCAGTCAACCATGGCATCTATTGAGGTGCTGGAACCCTGACAGCTGCTTGACACCAGACATGCAAGTTTGCACCTATTGTTCAGAGCAGCCTTCAAAACAGCATCCTTAATTTCACACGTTTCATTTGCACAACGTGGCTAACCTAATTGCACCACCCAAATGTTGCACAGATGAAAATGGGGTCTGTTTCTTGATAGCAGGAAAGAGTGTGTTTTACTTTCCTGGACGGTGCGTTACCCATATGAACATCCATGGTGGGAAAACACTGGAAATATGCTTACTTAGAGAAAGACAGAACCCGGTCCCCCTTCCGCCTTAATGTTCCTCCCAAGGCTGTTGGTGTCTTATTGTTAGCTGTAGGACATTGACCATCTTCAGCAGAGCTCCTTCTTCTGTCTAGTGCTCTATTGCAGTTCACTAGTTTCCCACTGGTGTCCCACTGACACTGAATAAAGCAGGAGGTGATTCCTTCTTCTTTTCATCTTCAGTTCTCTTGCTATCATTCCTGCCATTCACTACCTTAGTGTTTTAGAAAGCTGGTTTTCAATCTTGATTCATGATCTTACATTTTCCCCAATCCCTTTGCACAGCATTCTTGGTGATTATTATATTTGCAGTGGGTGAAGTCATGCGGCCTAGGATTGTAATCTTAATACTTAGTACTAATTCCTGTTCATTCAAACTGGGATGATGGTTTCTCAAATTTCACAAACTACCCTTCCAGGCCTTAGAGAAATGTATTGAGCTCAGCCTGTCTGCTGCAATTTAATAACCAACTACATCTCAGAAGGGACTTTAGTAGTTCCTGGTGTATGTTTGATCACATCTTCAGAAGATTGCCAAGATGAAAATGGAGCCATATTGTATATTTTTGGTAGAACTTGGTTTTTGAATATGAGATCTAATTCCCTATGACCCCTTATTTCATGCTAATTTTCTTCTAGCTCATTTGCCATTTTTATTTCTGTATTCTGTTCTCCCCTGGTGGCTGTTTGTTTGTTTTTTATCTGTTTCTTTCTAATATTTACAGGTAGCTGTGTTTTAGCATGCTATTAGTCTGCATGGAACCATAAATCTAGGCATGATGTGATTCCATCTATATATACTCAGATTAAGCCCCATTTAGTTCATCAGGGCTTTCTGCCAGAGATGTAATTATAATTGCTCATCTCTTTAAGTAGAAAGAGGAACCTTGCATTTAATCAGTGTGCATGTTTTTTTTTCCTCCTAAAGATCTTGAAATAACTACAGTGCCACTATTTTTTAAAGACATGATGAATCAAGGATGGGCAAACAACTTCAACTGACATATTTTATATCCAAGACAGAAAAAGCCTTCAGTTAAAATATAAAGTCAAGAATTCTTTCAATATTTCAAGGTTTCATATGCCTGATTATTTGTCTATTGACTTCAATGGACACCCCCCCCTCAAAAAAGGAGAAAAAAGTTACATTGAGGTAGGATACAGCGAGAAGATGTGTTTAAATGAACATTTTGCTCCTGGGGCTCTGACATCTTAAAAAGGTGTCCTAGGAGTCCACAACTTATCTTTTTGCTAAGAGTAGAACTTGGCTGAATTTGAAAAGCTAAGCAGGCTTGGATGTGGTTAGTACCTGGATGGGAGACCATCAGGAAATTTCAGGGCTGTAGGCTAGACTTGGAAGTTTAAAAAAAATTCAGGAAGAAGGTAATGCGAGACCACTTCCATACGTTTGCAAAGAAATCAACATGGTCGTATCCGTGTAGCTACCAAAAGTCCAGTGTGACTTTTGGCACAATACAGTTGTGCTATGTTGTTCCCTCTTTATAAAAAGAAAGCTGTCTTAGATATACATTCCAGGGGCTGTCCTGTTGCAGGGCACAGAAATCACATAAAAGTAATTTAAAGCCACGTGCATGCAACATATCAACTTGTAGTTTTTATAACTGCTATTTATTGAATTGAATTGCCTGCATTCACATAACTTGTGAACCATACACTAACCACACTGCCTGGGCTTGCAGAATACACAGAACTCCAAATGAGTCACCCACATTTTAGCCTAGTATGTTGGGTAAATGCAGCCCAGACGCTCATTATGGCAGAGTCCACACAACATGCTCGACCAGGTAAGTTTAAGTCATTTGCACATCCCAACTTAATTGTTTTGTGTGTATGTGCCTTGGCATGCTGTACAAATAGCTAATTTATGGCCAATGTATTGTGTGAACCCAGAAAATGAATAAATTCAAGCAGGTTCCTTGTATTATATGAACACAGCCAATATAATGGGACATAGGTATCTGTGGTATGACCTTCCTCTTGTAGCTACAATACTGACTCTGCGCTTTGGGGTGAGCTGCTCGACTAATTGAGAAGAAAGAAAGCTCAAGTGTTGAAAACTCTAAAAAAAAATTCACGATTCATAAATTGATACATGCCATCAAGGTAAAAGTGGAAGGTTATCTTGGCTTCAAGTCTGTTTTAGTTATGGACGCTGGATAATTGTATATTTGAAACGCTGCTACAATTAAGGGATAAAGTAAAACGTCCTTCAGTTAAAGCTCCGTTCTTACTCATTATATAGACAAATCCAGTTTTCTGGTTAACAGTATGGAACTGGTTTACTATTCACTTCTTCTAGGCTGTTTTGTGGCGGTTGTTTTAAATTTCCAGTCTTGCCTATAGCCCTACTAGTGGTTTCCCATTCATGTAATTTACAGGATGGAGGACCTGGCCAGAATGATATAGCTGAGAGCTAGAATGAGCCAAAATATTGCAGCTTGTTCTTTTAAAAATCATGGATGGATGGATGGATGGATGGATGGATGGATGGATGGATGGATGGATGGATGGATGGATATTCCATAAACTGACATGTTTGGTAGTCCATCTCTGTACATTCCAGAGTAATGCCAAAGAGAACCATTTTCAGAGCATGGTCAAGACATCAAACATATATATCCCATTTTCTCAAAAGAGTTCTTTGACTTGCATTATGTCAGAGCCTCAATATCAACTACCATTGCCCATTTTATATTTTTGGTTCCCTTCACTTTCACTAGATGCACAATTATTCCATGTGCATCAATAAGGGATCTACCCCTACCTGATATTTTGGATGATCCAACCATTCTTGTCACAATAAGACCAAGAACCTCCATGAACAAAAAAAAAACAAAAAAAAAATACCCAAAACACTCCATGCTGGTTTTATTAATTCCTTTTCCTTTTCCTTTCTTTTGTTTTCCTTCCTTTTCTTGTCATTCCCATGCAGTCATTCCAGGCATAGTACTGTAACTCAGCCTCCCACCGTGAATATCCAGAGGACCATTTCAGTAGAAGGGTAAGGGGGAACCAATATTATAATGTTGTTTGGATCCTTACTATTAACATTGGTTTAAGCTTTTTTAATTCATAAGCATTGAGTCTATGTGTACAGTATCACCTGAATATAATTTATGATATCACATATGCTGCCTCCTTTCTTAAAGAGCTCAGAAAAGTGTGCATTGTTCCTTAGTCTGTCTAGTATTCAAGACAGTTAGAAGTTCAGAGCTGTTTAAGTTGTCTTCTCCACCTATTCACTTTTTATGGGATTCTCTCAATCCTGTTTGTCCCTTATGAGATATTTGTTCCTAATTTTAGTGGTCTTTCAGAGGCTGTGAAATGGGACAATATACCTGCCCGTCAGAATGATAATAGCATGCTTGGGCCTGGTTAGTACACAATCAGATCCTCCAAAGAAGTACACATCCAGAATACATCAGTCCAGAATAATCTCAGCATAGTGATTAAATAGAGGGAAAAAACAGGAAGGAACCCCATCTGGGTGACAATATCTAACTAACTGTAGCTGATCTTGAAAAGCTAAGCAGAGCCAAACATCACCAGGGATATCTAGAGTTTATAGGCTAGACTGGGAAATTGGGGGGTGAGGGGAGAGAGGCAAGAATTGATCTTTGGGGAGATTGCCTTTTCTATCACCTCCACCTACTGGTGTTATGCAAGAACTGACAATATTTGATAGCAATCCATGCTATTCAATCTATAAGAATGGGTGGAAATGTTTTGAACTAGTGGAATTGATGTCATTGCTTCTAATTGCTGATTAGGGACATTGTTGTTGTTATCATTGCTTAATAACTCTGTCTAGAAAAAAAAGCATCAAACAGATTAAAAACCTAGCCCAATTTTCTCTCATATATGACACATTTTCTGCTTAAAGGGCAGACTGTTGTTTATAGCAATCAATTAAAAAATATTCCATAAAGCTATACCATTCTAGAGTTGGAAGGGACCATTTAGGTTGACTTCTTGATTGTATGGAGTCCAAGTGAAAGGATCCTTAAAGGATACCCACCTTTGCTTAAACACATCTAATGAAGGAGAATTTGTTCCTCTGTCAAACGACTCTTAGGAGTTTCCCCCCTAAAATTCAACTGGAATCTGCTTTCCTGTAATTTATAGCTATTATTCTATACTCTGGAACAACAGAGAACAGATCTTGATTTTCATCAAAGGGAATCATTTCAGTTCAGACTCAGTCTTCTCTTCTCCATCTTAAGCCTTCCCAGATCTTTCAGTCTCTTCTTCATAAGACTTAGTTTATAGTCCCCTCAACACCTTTGTTGCCCTTCTCTTAACTTATTCCAGCTTCTCTGAATACTTCTTCAAGTGTGTTCTCCAGAACTGGACACAGTATTTGAGATGGCATCTGACCAAAGCAGAAATGTAGTCTGGAATATTATATCTTGTAGCATATCAAGGTCCTACCTTTCATTCCCACCTAATTGACCAACGATCAATGTGTGATTCACAGTGCTACCTGCTGTGATCTAATACAACTTAAAACCTTCATGTTTCATTTTACCTATTTATTGGTAAGGTAGTTTTGCACTGCAGATGAGAATTTTTGATCCAGAGGCCAGATGGTGACTTTGAACCCCTTCCATCCAGCCTCACAACCCTGTGCAACATTTAGATTTTAAATTGCTTCCTTTGAAAAAAATTTAATTGCCAGGAAGGGTGTCACTGTAGAGGAAAAATCTTGCACCGTGCACTGAACAGATGTCCCATAGCCCGCTCTGTAACAATTATGCAATTAAAAAGTGAATTGATTCTGTGAGGGAGGAAAAATTTGGATTAGGATTGCAGATAGGGAGGGAAGAGTGATTCTGCCAAAGTTGTCATCAGGCTGCAATCAGTTTTGAGAGGAGAAGAAAGATGTTTCTATTTGTGCCAATGGGAGCTTTCTAATAAAAGCAAAATTGCTGCATTGGTGTGAAGGGGAAAGGCTATAATCTACCTTTATAGTTAGGCATGATGTCCAAAGAAATCTAGCACATTTTAGGACTTGCTGTATCCTTAGAAGCCCTGTCTGAAGAGCACCTGAGGATAGCCAGGAACATAAACCCTGGTTTGGAACCTAAACTTTCACAGTTGATAAATTTCCCCTGAAACAATCTATGTGCATTCGTTTGCTGAGCAAACAAGCAAGATGGGCGCCTTATGGGTGACCGGAAAAGGCACTGGAATTAGGTGATACAGAGCTTTATAAAATGCGGTCAATGTTTAACTGATGGAACTAATAGGAAAATGCCTCAGTCATAAGTAGGATGGTATTTAAATAAGCTTCTGCATGTTTACAAAGAGTGAAATTGGCCAAAGTGATATTGCTATGAAAAGAATACGGGAAGAGCTATTTAATGGCATATATTTTGCCTAGGACATATGATGAGGTAAGCAATTTTCTTTTCTTTTCACAGGGAACCTCGAAAAGTTGTCTTACATAAGGGCTCGACAGGGCTTGGTTTTAACATTGTAGGAGGAGAAGACAGGGAAGGCATTTTTGTCTCCTTCATCCTAGCAGGTGGACCAGCTGACCTCAGTGGTGAACTGCAGAGAGGAGATCAAATTTTATCTGTAAGTAATTGCGATCTATCTTTTTTCCTTTGTAAGAATTTTAAGCAAAAACATAATTCAGCATTGTTTGACTCATACACCACTACCACCCACTTTCCTCCCGGAGCTCAAGGCAACTTATCTGGGGATCCTCCTTATTTTATTCCCACAACAGCAACCTCCTGAGGTTTGTGGGGCTGAAAGAGAGGGTGATTGGCCCAAGTCATCCACTGAATTTCCATGGCAGAGGATGGGACCTGGACCTGGGATTTTCCAGTCCAAATCCAACATCTTAACCATTATAATACACTAGTTTTCCATTATGTTTGTTAGTTGGATTGTGTTTGCTTTGGTTTAATCATTACCTTAATTACCCATTATCCCATTACCCAAGAATTGTCTTTTGTTTCTGTGGCAGAAAGCAGTTCCAATAATTCAGAGACAATGATTAATTGATTGATTCATACATACATACAATTATGATTACAATCACAGAATTTGTTATTTTCCAGAATTTTTTTTAAAAAGTCCTTCTAAAGTGGTTTATAAGCAGTGTGAACAATTGGAAATAGCACTTCAATAAATATAGTTTAAAAGCAGAGAAAGAAACTTCTAGGATCCTTCCAGCAGAGTGAGTGGGGCCAATGGTCCTGTAGAGAGAAGAAGGGAAACAGTGGAGCAGGTTTTTGGACTGATGGTCTCCTGTCTTCCTCCTTTCTCAGCCAAGTTTGGATAAATACATATTTTAAGCAAAAACATAATTCAGCATTCTTTGACTCATACACCACCACCACCTGCTTTCTTCCAGGAACTCATGGAGGTCATGTCTTCCTCCCTTCTCAACCAACTTTGGATAAATACATATTTCTGCCATGATAGAATTCTTGGTGCACTAAAGTTTCTTCAAGAGTGTTTCCTTGCAATAGACTTGTATATTAAGTAATGCTGGATGGCTTTGCTGAGCAAAGGGAAAGTTTGAGTGGAAAGGATTAACTTTGCAAGTGGAATAGTTGGGGGGGGGGAGAGTGAGACCTTGACTTTAAGGTAGTTACTTCAGAGAGAATTGCCCAATTTTTTTCAAATGAAAGTCAAGTTCTGGCTTTTGAAAAGAAAACTTAGAGTGGGAACACCCTCCAAAAACTGGAGGTGGCCAGGAAAAAGAAGTAGGTGGGTCTTGACCAGACATACTTGAACAAAATGCAGATTTCATTTTATCAAATGCAGTAAGTGATTCCTTACATTTATGCCATGAATCATTTCCTCCTTCAACCTCATTAAAAAAATAGTTTGGGGGCAACATAAGGACAGCATGTAGGGATTGTACCTGTGGCTTTGGGGGTGGGGGATACAGGGCACCCTGGGCCCTCAAGTTGTACACCTTGGCTTAGAACCAGATGGAATAATGGACAAGCTGTTCAAATTAGCTGTGTACATTCCTAAATGATGATGCTGGTTTTAATGGACTGCCAAGACTTTCACTATGGTGGATTGCACTAACCAAGCTGTGACTATGGGTCGAATAATAGAAAAATTGGAAGGGTGATTGACTACAGCCACCAGGAACAACACCAAAAAAGATTAGACAATCTGCCCCTGAAGGCTCTCTGCAAACAGACCTGATGCCATCTTTTCTTCATGGATGGTGGCAAGAGCTTTCAGGACCTTCATATCCTGAAACTATGTCCCATAGAACAATCAAATACTTGTTCTCAGTTGTTTCACATGGCAGGACATGGAATAATGAACTAAGTTACAGGAGGGCAGATTCCAGCTGAAGGTTAGGAAAAAAACTTCATAATAGTGAGGGCAGTTTGAGAGTGGAATAAATTCCACAGAGAGGTGACGGACTTCCCTTTCATGGGGTATGTTTAAGTGAAGGCTAAACAATCATTTGTTGGAGATGCTTTAATTTGGATTCTTGCTCTAAACAGGAATCCTGCACTTCCATCATTCTACAGTGTCTTGATTGACCCTGTTAAATGCAGCCTGCGTCTTCATTTTTTATTTACTTCTTCATGAGCTCCATGGCTGGGTCAGAAAGGACATTTTGTTTTCCAATATCAGTAGCCAACCTACTCTTTGCAAGAGGATGGCTTTGAAGAGGATTCAGAATTGAGATTCTGGTCTCCTCCTTCTTCATCGGAGCAGACGCTATGCCATCAGCTTTTTTGCAGCCTGCCCAGCATCGTAATTGAGCAAGAAAAGACCAAGCCTGCCATCTACTGTAAGAGAATCAGTTCAATTTATCCCAGTCGTGACTTCAGAGAAGCTTTGTCAGGCTTGTTATCTCTTCCGGTTCTAATGAATTGAGCAGCAGTTCTGCAATTCATTTTTCAAATTTGCCATGGATTATAAAAAGCCTTTTGGCTACATTTTTGCACATTTAGTCCCTGTGACATTACCATAATTGCTCTTTCATTTGTACACCAAGAGCGTGGAATTAAGAAATAAGGCTTCATTGTTCCAGGCTCTTCAACGGTTTTGTGAACATATGTCTCTAAATTTCTCTCTCTCTTTCTCCCACTCGAGGATGACAAAAAAGATGGCCAGTGGTAAAGCTAGGCCAGATAATAGCTGCCTACATATCCAGTAGTTTCAGACATTAAAGAGTGATCTGTCTAAGAGCCATTGTTCCCATGATTATAATTGCATCATTACTCATGTACTCCGATTCATTCCTAAGGAGCAAATAATAGCTTTGCACATGGAGTTCCAGTTATTCCTCCTAACTGTCCATTGGCTATGGCTTTTGCCAAAGACCCCAACTTTAAAAAGTATGGGTGAACATTATATGCATTTTCTGACTCTTAGCATACCCAAATAAGTACACAGAAGTAGATAAACACTGTATATCATTTTTATTACTCTATTTATTGTTGAATTCTATGAAAGCAAAAGCTGTATAGAAGGAGTATGTGAAGTAGGTGTTGGAGAAGACTCCAGAGAATACCATGGAAAATCAAGAAAACAAATGGAACATCGAACAAATGACAGTTCTTACTTGAGGCACAAATGACCAGGCTCAAATTAAAATACTTTGGATACATTATGTGAAAACCCAGCTCTTTCGAGAAGTCCATAATGCTGGGAAAGGTAGAAAGAAAGAGAAGAGTATGACCACCAGCAAGGTAGATGGACTCAATTACTGTGGTGATGGTTACACCTTTGGAAGTCCTGAAAGACCAGGTTGAGGACAGATCATCCTGGAGAAGATCTATCTCTGTGGTTGCTAATAGTCAACACTGACTTAATGGCATATAATCAGATCAAATCTACTTATTAATAAGAAGACTTGTGCTCAGCTCTTACGCTTTATGCAGAATAATACTATCCTGTACTTACATTCCACTGCTATGGATAGTCAAAGACAGAAGTTGTATAGTCAATAGCACCGGGACAACTCCTCTGCTCAGTGTTCTCAGAGAATAGAAATCCCACCCAAAATACAAATTGTCTATTATGCTCAGACTTCTGCAGAAAAAGCCAAAGGGAACAAATGACAAAATATGCATCGGGACATCACAACACCAACCTAATGATTTACGTACTTATGTCCAACATCAAGACATAAGTACCTAAGGTTGGAGGCAGTTGTGATGTCATCGACTGCATTTAATCTATTCAATGACCAACTAAGAGTTAGAAACCTTTTTCATCATCAGAGACCAATCATGCATTCATGTCCCATGCTGGATCTTCCCCAGTTGACTAAATCATGTAGGATTTCAGTGAAATCTCTTGGATTTCTATCTCCTAGCACGACATTGCATGAAATGTTGTCATTCTCATGAGAACTTAGAAGATTTTGTTAATTTGGGTAGGAATTGAAGCTCTAGCCATTGTTCTGATATCCATAGGCCCCCTATGTGGCTGACTCGCAAAGTCAACAGCAATCTGTTTTCTTCTGAGAACAGGACATCAAAATGATGGTGATTGTTCCTTCAGAAAGCTAATAATTTTCTGCTTATGCAGCTCCATAGCTGAACGCCGGGGAATAAGAGCTCGATTCTATTTCCTGGAGATACCTCATAGAACTGTAGAGGTGGAAGTGACCATTAAGTGCAGTCCCCTGGTCATTGGTTTTACTCTCAAACTGCTCTTATAATTAGAAAGTTTTTCCTCACATTCAGTAAGAGTTTACCTCCCATATCTTAGTCTCATTATTCTGTAGCTTCTATTTTGGGATGATAAAGAACAGGTCTTGACCAATATTTATGTAACATTTTTCAGGTCTTGAAAAGTTCTATCACATTCCCACTCCTAAGCCTTCTCTGCCTAAAGACTAAGAATAAAAATAAAAATCAATCTTCCCTCATAAGGCTAAGTTTTCAGTCTTCTGTTCATCCTTGTTGATATTTTCTAAACCTGTTCCAGTTCCTCTGCATTTTGCTTAAACAGGGATACCCAGAACCACATTTAAGTGAATTTCATTGACTTTCAGTTGCCTCTTCACACTCCCTGCTAATAGCCCTGAACAAATCATTCAATATGGATGTTTTATTTTTGTTTTTGCACACCATTGATTGGGAAGCCGCAGCCAGAAATGAAGGTTTGAGACCTCCCACCAGATCTCAAAGGAAAGAAAGAGAAATTGAGGCAGGAAAGATGGTCATGACACAAAGAATAACTCTGAATAGAGAGATCATTGCAGCCTTTCTTCTTGAAAAGAGACAGTAGCCAGCTAAGCAAGCACTACAAGTCATCCCAGCAGGTGGGATTTCTTTGCAATGAAGAACAAAGGTAGACAATCTCCAGGTTCTGGGAGAGAGTCAGATTTAGAATTTTAGAAACATGCTGTGAATGCTCATAAGTAGGATGCTTATTCTGAAAAAGTCAGCCTTGATGGTCATTGCTAGGTACAAAGCACTCACTCAGCTGCGTTGTTTTAATGTTATTGTTTTAGTTATTTTTACTTGGGTTGTTATAATTTTTTGTTGTTGTTGTTGGCTTTCCAGAATCATGCGAGATGAGTGGCCATAGAAATTGTCTAATTAATACATTATCAGGAGACAAACTGCTGA